CACCACACCTCCATAGAAACAAAGGATGTAGGAAACCCCTACGTCACCACGAGACATGATACGATCAGGCTGGTTCATGCAACATGCACATGCATACACACAGTGTCTCTCTCAATTACTTTTAAACACATACTGATGCGATAAAGAACCCACCGCTGATCAAATCGAGACGGATTAGTGGTCTACTGGAAGCAAACCGGCAACAAGATGATGGACTCAGTCAGAGACTTCCAGATGATGCTGAGTTTATACTGTGTCACAGGAACTGTGTGAGCACACATTGTTCCAGAGACCATATTAAGCGATTTTTACTAAAGCAAAAGACTGGGGAACTTTCTGAAGAAGAACTCAAACATCAAAGGGGCAGTACTAGTTCGTTTAATTTTCACGAAATGTGTTTATTTGTGGAGAAGCATGCTCACTGATACTCCCGACAACAACCAGATCGTTGGAAAAAGCCTACTTATTATGCCGAACTGGAGAGGAGAAAGGGAGGAAGATCACAAAAGAAGAACTACAAAAAAACTTGCAAAGGAACAGTCAGTGATTTGGCAGACGCTAGATATCAGAGAGACTGCCACTCTTGGTTCTACACAAACTATCCAATGCAATCAACTAGCTCACCTACAAAGCATGACTATGTCTTCGGTATGCTGGTTGACGACATTCGATGAAACAAATCATGAATGTGGAATAGTGTGTAAGTCCATGAACGCTATATTGAACTTGGGGGGGGGGGGGGGGGGAGGAAGACAAATCGCGACGTACACTTCCGGAACCATGTATCTGAGAAGCTACATCAGGAATTGCTGATCCTGTCTCACCAGGTGTGGCTTCCATACTCGTCTTTAGGAGCACGGCTTCAGTCTAGATGCGTATTGTAAATGATGAAGGAGACTGCAATGGACGAGCCATATCATGCTTGGTTAGTGTGATCAAAGCAGAATGTCCAAAGCACAATCGCCATACGTCCCCAACTCGTCTGCCTAGGGGATCTGTCATGAATGAGTGCAGCCTTTGCTATCGGTCCTTGCAGCCAAAGACCCCAAACTGGATTTTACGCTGCCAGCAGCAATGATCGGCCACACTGTTACGAGTACAGTCAGCAACTATTTCACAAACTTGCAACTTGGATTTTGTGTTCTGTTGAGTCGACAGAGGAAATTTATAGACGAGCTTCACACGTATGGAGTCACCACCTCATGCGACGAACTAAGGCGCTTTCGGTGTTCAGCTACTGTTGCTATGGCATCTGTTCCACGAGGACTGGCCTATTTTGACAGTAAACATGGACTTGTTCAAGTTGTAGCTGACAACGTTGACACGCAGATATCATCTCCAAAAGGCCAGAAATCAACGCACGGCTCAGCAAAGATACTGGCACAAGCCAACACGCAGAAATCAGAGCAGGTGTGGGAAATGCAAGATATTCTAGCCCTCAGGCGTCTCAGCAAAGCAGAAACAAAGTCCGATAATCTGACACTTGGTAACGTTGCAGTTCAACGGTACACAGGAAACATGAAACCACTTATGCCGGAAGAACTGAGCCTGCGACATGTCTCATCTCTGGTCTTTCTTGCGACACGACAGGCTTCTCTGAATAGAACTGCAACTCAAGATCTGTCATTTTTTAAACAGGCACTCGGCGAATATGCAAGAACTGAGTATGGAGGTTATAACACACAACGTACCCGCAGTGCAGAACAACAACCCCAACCAAAGACAGATGTGATGTACAGCCCATTCCTGGACATTATCCCATCTGAGCCAGACACCGTGAAGACAGCAATGGTTTGAAGCCAATGGTCTTACACAGCTCACTAGTCATGGATGGACAATATTCACCAGTGACTACCAGCTGTACAAAGAACTTGTCCACATCACATGGGTTGACAAGGAACCGTTTCAGAAGTTCATCCCAAGACTTGGTGGTATGCACATGCTGAGGAGTTCTGTTAGTGCTGTGGGATACCTGATGGGAGGAATAGGCTTTGAAGACATACTTGGCTCTGCATTTGTGGGGGTGCCAAAAATGTTGACCCGGAAAAAATACCCACAAAATGTAAAAGCATTGAGACTCCTTGTTGAGTAGTTACTGCGACCCATTCTCCCCAAAACTAGCGTGCACACCATGGCTGCACTCACGCAATGTCTCGTCCCCAAAAGTACCCAGAGCAAAACCACAAGACTTTGGGTTCAGTGCTCCTTGACCCAGTGTTCATTGTGATGGCCTTTGTTCGGGCTGAGAGAGAAGCTGACTGGACTCTTCACTTGTTTGCTGTGGAACAGATGTTCCCCTACATCTTTGAGCCTGAAATGTCAACTATGCTCGCTACTGTCTTTACCATCCCCGATCCATGCAGCGCCTGAATCCACACGTTTTTGATGAAATACTTGATGAAATACAAGTAAAATTGTAGTCTATAATATATATATATATATATATATATATATATATATATATATATATATATATATATATATATATATATATGTGTGTGTGTGTGTGTGTGTGTGTGTGTGTGTGTGTGTGTGTGTGTGTGTGTGTGTGTGTGTGTGTGTGTGTGTCGTCCTCTGCCACGAGGAAGAACTTATCCATGCGAGGTCGTGATTTTAATGCGACGATTTCAAGTGTATTGCAGATCAGCACATTTATGAAAACTATATGGCGGCCATCTTGTTTTCTTTGAAGTTGCCATTTTATCGAATATTTGATGTGTGTTTTCATCAAGAGTGGTTACTTTTGTCACACTGAATGCTATTTAATGAAGTTTGTACATTTGTATGTCTTTAATTGCATGATATCCCTCACAACATCATTTACTCGAAATTCTATGGCGGCCATTTTGGATTTTCACTTTTAAACAAAAATGCCCAAAGTTTAGCATTTGGTCCCCATTAGATTTGAAATCAGCAATGAACACTCTGTTAGAATCACCAAAGAAAAAAACTTTATGACGCAAAACAAGCTTTTTCATCTGGCGCTCGGACTACTGCGCGGTCCTCCCTGCCTCCATCGGCAGTTTCCTTAAGAACCGTTCCTTCAAGGTCCGTGTCGGATCCACCCTTTCTGATCCCCACCAACAGAACGAGGAAGGTGTTCTCCAGGGAAGCATCCTTTCTCCTTTCCTCTTTGAAATTAAAATAGATTCCATCTTTCAGACCCTTCAAAATAGCATAGACAGCTCGTTATCCGTTGATGACATCCAGATATGTTGCCGTTTGAAAAATCCTCAACTAAGATCTATGGAAAGGCAGCTGCAAACGCAACTGCACAAACTTGAAAAGTGGGCAAATGAAAATGGTTTCAAGTTTGCCCGTCAAAAACAGTTGGAGTGCACTTCTGCTGATCAGGCAGACGTATACTGGAGCCGGATTTGATACTACACGAGGAAAGGATTCCTGTCCAAGACCAGGCTCATTTTCTCAGAAATTAGAATTATATTTGACAAGAAACTTACATTCATCCCACACATAAAAACCTTCGTATGAGGTGCCAGAAAGCTTTAAACGCTTTGAAATTTTTTTTGCATCTGGAGTGGGTTGGGAACTCAAACTACCTTCTCCACCTACACTTTTCCCTTGTCCGATCCAGGGTTGACTACAGCTGTCAGGTCTATGGATTGGCAAAACCCTACGTACGTCCTAAAATGTTACCAGGGACTCTGCCTCACCAGTGCGGGCTTTACGTACTTCTCCAGTGGAGAGCCTCCAGGCTGAGGCAAATATGCTATCCCTTACACTCAGACGTACACAACTCTCACTACAAAACGCAATTAAACAAAGCTCAACACCAGATAACCCAGGGCACGACTGCATTTTCGGAACACACCCAGACACCATTAAAAAATTCAAAAACAACAAAAGACTCATCAAACCTTTCGGCCTCAGAGTCCTTGAGGTCCTCAAAAACATACACTTTTCCAAACAAGATTTCGATAGAACTATTTTCCCCAACCTTCCTCAATGGCACCTCACCAAGGCAAAAGTAGACTTACAGCTCATTACACACAACAAAGCAAGCACAAGCACCAAAACATTTAAAGCAGAATACAAAATATTTATAGAAAAAAAACCCTGGTGAAGAGCGAATCTTCATAGATGGCTCTAAATCGGACTCAGCTGTGTGCGCCGACTCCCTGTCTTCAAACAGTACGCACCAAATGAGACTCCATCCCGAAGCCTCCATTTTCTCTGTGGAGGCCACTGCCATTGACATGGCATAGGACTCAGTAGAAAATTCCCTAACACGTCTTTCCTTATCCTTTCTGATTCTCTGTATTGCATCATATTCATACACCCAAAACTAGTTAGGCTACAACAACAAAAAACACTCCTTGACAGTAATCAGGAAAAGTATCATGTTCGCATGCCACCTAGCCATGTGGGCATCACGAGAAACGAGCAGGTGAATCTCCAGGTGAAGGAATCCTTGTCCCTTCTGTTGGGATCAATGAAAGACACTCTCCCACAGACTGATGATTTTAAAAATAAAGTAAAAAACTACACTTCCAGTCTGTGGGAGATTCATTGGAAGAATCAAACCAATAATAAACTACACTACATTAAGCCCAAACTGGGTCCACGAAAACCTTCGGGCCTCTCCAGAAAAGACGAAGTAATTTTTACTCACTTACGTTTCAGACGCACCTCCCTGACACATAAATACTTCCATCAGGGAGATTAGAAACCTTTCTGTGTCGGATGTGACACAGATTTTACCATTAGACACATCTTAACAGAATGTCCAGATTTCGGAAAGACCCGAAGGAAAGATTTTAAACGCAAAAAAAAAATGCAAGATCTGTTTTCCATCGTCGGGTCCCGACAGAATTTTCGATTTTATAAAGGCCAATGGCCTTTACCGAAATATTGACCAGAGTCAAACTGTGCTGTTAACTATTGTGAATGCAACCAACTCAGGTTTCTCGAGCTCATATGACCTTAAATGCAGTTGCCAGCGCCGTAAAACTAATTCGAAACTAAAACAAAAAACTCTCTTGAATAGTAAAGTACATTTTATTCAGCTCCTTGTTCTTCAAAAATATCATAAACAATCGGTAACTATTTATACCACTTGTAGTTTGACAAACACTTTCAAGTCAAGCCTGGAGGTCCAAGTCAACTTAAGACAAACAACAGATTTCCAATTCTTACAAACATTTTACATAAAACAGCTTGATCTTCCATTAACCTATAATGGCTGAAAGAAATAAGATAAAAAGTGCGGACATTGAACATGTAATTCACTTCTACTGTAGATTTTCCTTGAAATAAATAAAAATGTACTCCTTGAATGAAGTTTCGTTCCGTAATTCCACATGCTGACAAAATATGAGGAAAACATATACAAATTAATGAGGTCTTCATATGGATAAATTCAGAGTGTCAAATTCAGGTCAATAAATTAATTAGGCCAGAAAATCTTGTATAAAATTATCTTCACAGAGATTAAAATAACTTGTAAAGATCCCAGCGTTCTCTCACACGAGATTGGCATCTTTGGCCATGGAGTAGAACACAGAGTCTGTGTTGGAGAGCAGAGCGTTGGGAGAGTCCATCTCCTTGATCAAACCTTTGTCCATGACAATCACTCTGAAAAAAGTACAAAAGGCAGGCCATAAGGGTGTGTAAGATCTATCAAATCAGATATCCTGTTACTCAAAGGTAGGGAAGACTTGCATATATATATACATGATGTATACACATATACATATATATAGAGAGAGATTTATATATATATATATGGGCTCATTTTCCTTCAAACCTCTTCAAGTTTTTTTGCTCCCACTTCAGATCTGATTGTCTGTCACCTGAATGTTCTTGAAGCCCACAGTAAAACTGATGATTTTGGAGAACACCTTCCATCTTCCCTTCTAGAAGTGAGGATCCTTAGCTTTTGAGGCATGTTTTAAGTTATTATTTTAAGAGAAATTCTATACATCCCTTAAACCAGAGGGAATTTTACACAGGTAAGCAGTCTGCTCACCGTGTTATTTCAATTGCCACTGCCTTTGACAAGAATCTCTTAAACAAAAATATATCTTAATTGTTACAAAAATATCTCTCATCTCACAAAAGTCCCTGCATCTATGCCAATCCCTGTTGGGGACAGCTGAAAATATTGTCTACCAATCAGATTTGTTGAAAAGGTCTTTCTCTTGATCTTTGGTTTGCAGAAGAATTTTGGCTGTAAGAAAAGAAAATCGCTCTGACCTGTCATAATCCATGATGGTGTTTAGCCTGTGCGCTATGGTGAGCACGGTGCTGTGATTGAACTCCTCCCGTATAGTTCTCTGGATGAGCTCGTCCGTCTCCATGTCCACGGCAGCTGTAGCCTCGTCCAGGACAAGGACTCGAGAACGACGTAACAACGTCCGGGCCAGGCACAGTAACTGTCGCTGACCCATGCTGGGGGGACATTTGTTAGGATGTTAAGACTTCATTTTTGAAGGCAGGAGAAACGTTGAGACAGAAAGCTTGTAGGGAGGGGAAATATTGCAAAGGTAACAATAAAGCCCCCCAAAAGAAAAGTATAACAAATGGTGAGACATGGTACAAGGGAAAGATAATATTTCTAACATTGTCTTCTTTAATTTCCCTCTCCCCCCTCCCTTTTTCACTCCTTTAAGGATAACCTTTCTAATTTTATTTTCAGTTGTGAACACCCCTCTACCAATGCTCGCACTTATACATTGGAACTCAGATTCAACGAAATCGTTGAGCCTGATCTTCAACTTAGTTGAATCTGAGTGTTCATTGGCAAATGTATGGGTTTTGTGTAGATAATTACAGACACCCAGCAAGTAATGTATAAAGGGGAGTAACAAGTGATTGGCTACCCCGAAATGCCAGCTTTTTTTTGGCCCCATTTTGACTTCCTCAATCAATAGTAGTTTCGTTTCAAATGAGAGACATTTTCATTTCTTTGATGGCATACAGAAGGAATGCTGCAAAATTCCAGAAAACTACACTGAACTCTACTTAGAGCTCAGCATACGGCAACATTTGATTCCGCAAACCACGGTGCAATTCATTACCGTAGTCTATGTCTAAACCTGCTAATCACTGTAATATTGATCAGTAGCCGATGTGTTTGTAACTCTACTATCATTCCACGCCCGGACTGCTTGTGCTCCCTCCCCTAAGAGGAGCAGTGCCACTGACTGAAATCTCTTTAGGTTATTCCCAAAGGGGGGGACATTTCTCGTTCATGCACAGTAGAATTGTAAGTGGGCTGATTCATCAATGTCACGCTCATAACTGTGCCTGATCGACAACAGGGAACTGCTGCTGTTTCTTTCCTAATCCTTACTATTGTCCTTTTTCCTCTACTTCTTTTGTATGTTTGTCACACTCTTGTGACCCACTATTTCTGGGATGCCTTGACAGTCGAAGCAGACTTTGTGCTGTTCAAGCTAGTGAGGTAAGCAGAGTAAGTCTGATTCCCTTTAAGGACTTCTCTGTTGACATCCACCCCTTGACGCTCATATGACCATATTATTATGCAGTTGCGAGTGCCGTAAAACCTCTACTAAACTAAAGAGACACAAACACACAGTCACACCTGTACTGGCTGCCCGTTCTACCCAGAAACACGCTAAGACACATGTGAGTTGTTGAACCCGAGCCTGCTCATTTATTTATTCCTTGAATCCAATTTTTTTTTTTTTAATTGATTTTAATTGATAAAGAAATGAACAAACAATCTCCTTTTTATCTGAGTTTTCATAGAATCGGAGTTTGTTGAATCCAAGTTTCACTATATAGTCTCTGGCTACTTGTACACATATTCATATATATATTGATATTTATATGTAGGGGTGTATGGGCATATCTATATATATGTGTTATGTAGATATATATATATATATGTATATGTATATATATATATGTCGTATATATATATGTATATTTCTTCATTGTCAATATATATATATACATATATATGTGTGTGTTTATATATATATATATATATATATATATATATATATATAAACAGCGAACACACACACACACACACACACACACATACACACCAAAACAAAACACACACACACACACACACACACATACACACCCAAACAAAACACACACACACACACACACACACACACACACACACACACACACACATACACACACATATACAAACACTCATAAAAACACACACACATACACATACACACACTCATACAAACACAAACACACACACACACACACACACACACGCACACATACATATACACTCACACGCACCCACGAAAAACACACACTGTGAACAAACGTGCATGCCATGCAAGATACCTGAGGTTCTGTCCTCCCTCCCCACAGTTATAGTCCAGTTGTCCCGCCAGACCATTCACAAAGTCCTTGAGATGCGCATGCTCCAGAGCCTCCCACACTTCCGAGTCCATGTGCAGCTCTGAGGGGTCAAGGTTCATGCGGATTGTCCCAGAGAAAATCACAGGGTCCTGAGGAAAACAGCATCGTGACATGACTCTAAGTGTGAATTATAATTTTTTTAAATCCCTGGTATAACTAGAGAGAGATAAAGGAGACTCAACAACCCACCCCCCCCCCCCCCTTAAAAAAATATTTTTTTAAAAGTATCTATCTTCTTCTCTATCATCTCCTCTGCCGTGCCCCTTTACTGTCTTTTTCTTGTCTCTCTAAGGTAGCAGAGTTTTTTAACCATCAGTACTACGACTGATGGAGATGGTAGTGTTTTTCTAAGCAGAGCCAACTATCCTTATATTTCTGGCAATCATGACCTTCCCTTAAAAAGGGAAAGAGAAACCAGTGTCTCACATTTGACATCTTCTGTGGCTGTGTACTACATGTACTAGTGAGTCCACACCACAGTTTCTAGTAATTTCTATTTATGTACTTTTACATCTTTTCCTTCAAACTTGACCATCTGTTTCATGTACTAGTAAGCTATTTAGCCAGCAGGTAGGGTGCTTGCCTTTCATGTTTGATTCTAATAATGGGTACCTCACATCCCTGATATAAGAGAAGGAAATCCAGGTACTCAGTTGTCTTTTAATGTGGATAACAGAACTTTGCCGGCCTGCGTAGACATTCACCCTTCAACTCTTTATCTCCGAGGGGGGTAACCCCACTACGCCGGGGCCTTTTTTTGTACTAAATCTAAAACCGCCAAAAGTGTCACTAAATGGGTAATTAAATCGAAACTAGCGAACCTATTATGATAGTACGTCATCTAATGAATGAGCTCCCGGTAAAAGAGACCAATTGACGAAAAGTAATTTGATGTCGAAGTCGTCATACAGGAATGTGCCCGAGCCGCTGTCAGCAGTTCCGAACGCGAGCCGCTGGGGGCAGCTTGCCGGAGATAAAGACTTAAAAGCTGCTCAGATGCTTTCAGAGGGTGAATGTCCACTCAGAACCTTTAAAAGCATCAAGCAGCTGAAACGAGCAGAAGGCCCATACAAAAGCATTTCGTTCCTAAAATTGCAAGACCATCTATCAGGAATAAACTCAAGAAAACTCTGATTTTTTTAATAGCTGTCTGATAGTTTGGTGAAACCCAGACAATAGACCCGCCCCCGGGTTGCCTGTGGAGGGAAACCTTCAGTTTGATGGGCGACAGACACTACGGTCTTTGAGAAAAAAACTCCAATATGAAAAAAGCTAACCAAAATTACCTGAGGTAGGATGGTGATGCGAGAGCGGAGGTCATGCAAGCCTAGCCCAGCAATATTGTGGCTGTCAAGAACAATTTTGCCAGCTGCAGCCTCCACCAGTCGGAACAGAGCCACAGTCAGAGAGGACTTGCCTGCCCCAGTCCGACCCACAATCCCAACCTGAAATACAAGCATTACATCATTACTTATATTATTGGAGTTTTGATAAACAGTTGTCAGCTCCCCTCGGTGGCTTTAAAATTGCTTTCATCGCAAGTCGTCATATGTGAGGCATCACGGTGAAGTCGGGCACTCGTCAAAGTAATGAAATCGCAGAAAACGGTATTTTCTGCCAGTTTGACGGTTTTTATGTAATTTTCGTTTTTTATGGCTCAATATCTTTTTATGTTTATTTAAAGCAGGGATGCCGAATGATTCTTTTTTAAATGTGAACATGAGTGGAGTATCATATCTCACCTAAAACGAACCTTGCAAAGTTTTTATATGAGCATCACCAACGTCATACTTCTCGCCGGTTTTCATATCCACCACATCGCGAATCGTCAACACTTTCCGTTTATCCATAATTTTGCCTCATGAAAGTCACGGAAATCCAATAGAAAGAGGGATGAAAGAAGAAAAAAAAAAAAAGAAAAAAAACCAAAAAAGCCGGAAAAATCGGAGATTTGGCATCGCTTTTAAAAACTTATTTCTGTGAGGATTTTACTGAAAAACGTTGATTAAAGGCACAAAAAGTAAATTTTCAGTTCTCAAGTAGGTTTACTCTCAAGCTATGGAAGTTACCAAACTTTGGCGGCCATTTTCCTGATACGTTTACCTCTGAAACCTGGTGACGCCCCACCTCCCTCAGTCACAAATATCTCGACTTCTGTTCAAGATAGATTGACACTTTTTTTCACACCAAAAGCAAGGTAAATGAACAGGCTTTAAGACGATACCAATAACCCCATACGTCCAAAAAAAGACGAGTGCCTGATTCCAAAACGTCGTGACACATATATGCTTTTTTTTTTAGGGGCATTGGCATCTCCAGAGACTTTTATATTTTGAACTTTTCTTGTTGGCATTTATTTCTGTAACAAAGATGTTGTTTTGCAAGATAGGAATGCTACCTCTAAGCTAAACCCCCAACCTGGAGCACCAGGCTACTCTTGTCAGGAGCCACACCTTGGAGCCTTTATTTCCGTCTTATGACATGTAGACTGAATGTCAGCCTTTTTCTATTCTTCTCACTGCCAAGGTCTGCACATTCAAAAGATGAGGAAATATAAGTACAGCCAAATCTCGTTGTAATCCCCCCCCCCCCCTCCCCCGTTATGTTGCCAACCCCGCTTACCGTCAGGTTTTGCAAATGATAAGTAAAGAAGAAAAGAAGAACCTATATAAACATAGTATTTACTCCTTCACAGCACCATCTGCCAACTGTCCGAGTTATACGGTCCTTATTCAACTGATATAAAATTCCCCTGCCATACCGCCAATGAACTAACCGCCAGAGGCATACAATGAACATGGCGCACAACACCCACTGGTTGGCTACTTGATTATCTTTCTTTCACGAGAAAGACAGAGAGAGAGAGAGAGAGAGAGAGAGAGAGAGAGAGAGAGAGAGAGAGAGAGGGAGAGAGAGAGAGATGTACATGTATACCACCAACAAAGACATTTTTCAAATACATCACACAGCAGAATCATGTTCCTTGGCGCTGGGCAGCCGGGACAATACATTACACCAGCAGAGGAACCCCATTGAACCACAAGCTCAACTGTTCAGCCAACTTTATGCTCGTCCCGAGGGCAGTAGTATAACGAGGTTGGACTATAATGTCTTGGGCCATAATGGCTCTTCAATCAAACCATCTTCAATGCTTTATTTCAAGTTATGATGTAACAAAGTACAAGAATACAACAATTGTGCTACAGTTCAAATTATTTTCATACAAAGAAAAACAAAAGAATATAGAGTAAGTAATCCGGTCCTCTGCACAGAGATGGCAGAGAAGGTATTCTTTAGTTTCACCACAATTCTTGCACACATACTTTTTCTCCTGGCTTGAGCTGACAAGAGACACCCTTGAGAACCAGTTCCAGCCCCGGGCGGTAGCGGATCTGTAAGTCATCAAACTCAAGGTTTCCTTCCTCTGGCCACTCCGGGGCGGGCCGGTTGTCTGGGTTGTACCACGCTGCCTGGTGAGGAGATGAGAGGATCAACAAATTACTAAGGCAACAGTACTTCAAATCTAAGAGAATAGTTCAGAACAGGTCTGGGGTAGATAATATTGTTCATTCCAGGAGGAGGAGGAACAGAACAAAGAAGAAGAGAAGGGGAAGAAGGAGAACGAGGAGAAGGAGAAGGAGAAGGAGAAGGAGAAGGAGAAGAAGAAGAAGAAGAAGAAGAAGAAGAAGAAGAAGAAGAAGAAGAAGAAGAGGAAGAGGAAGAGGAGGAGGAGGAGGAGGAGGAGGAGGAGGAGGAGGAGGAAAAGCATAATCAAAACTGCACATAGCAAAGATAATCTGAAAACATTCTAAAAAGTGGAATGACCCCATTTATTTTAACCAGGAAGGCTGGTAGCTTCTCAATGTCTTGTCTCTGCTCTGCCAAACAAAAAGCCTCTCTCAGCACCCGTTGCACATGGGAAGTGAGAAAAGAAACTCAATGGGGAACGGGGGTCTTACCCTACTGAATGTGTGTTGTGTGATGTGTATTGACAACGGTAAGCTATTGTGAGCGGGAAAAAAAGGAAATGGTGAGAGTAAACCAGGAGGAAAGGTTGAACAGTCCAAAATTCCTTCATGTTCATCAGATCTGCTGGAGTTTTTTTTTTATATTATTATTCTAGGGGAGTTGTTGTGTAAAGACTAAAGAGGGGAATTAAAAATGGGGATTTGAAATCATTTCGTGTCAACAGGAAATACCTTTTAACAGGTTTATATTACAGAAACTCTACCGTAGTATATACTTATAACAATATCATGTTCTTGTTGGTTCCTCTATTGTAATAAAAAATCAAGGAAGTAAGATCAAAGAAAGGAACGATATTGTTGGCTCCTCCATGGGCCAGCAAAGGAGAAGAAATTGAAGGAAGGAGAAGTAGACAAATTTTAATGACATCGAGAAAAGCAAGAACAAAGAGCAAGGAGACAAAGAAGAAGGAGAATTATAAAAATTAGGAACAAAAATGAATAAAGGAATAAAATCAAATGTTAATTTAGTCAAGCTTGAGGAGGAACATGACAAGTAGCTGTTGTAATTCGCATCTAAGATGGCAATGAAGATCATTATTTCTTTAAACTATCGTAAAAATTGTCTCAACATAATCCAAGTCTCTACTTTTTTTTTACACTCTAAAATGATGATGATGATGATGATGGTGATGAGGAGGATGATGATGATGATGATGATGATGATGATGATGATGATGATGACGACAACGTTTTTTATCACTTTTCTAAAGAAGCCCATAAGTGCGAAACGTTGAACATATTTCATAAAGTCATAAGACTTTAAAATTATGTTTACTCAAATGATGATGATGATAATTGTGATGATTTTAAATCATTACAAAAGCAAATATGAATGAGTGTATTCTTCTATTTCTGTGATGATTTTCACCTCAGTGTTTGTCTCTGTGTACTCAACAATCCTCTCTACAGACACAATATTGGTTTCCGCTTGAGTTGCAACTTGGATGAGGAAACTGAGAGAAGAAGTCACCTGGGATAAATAAAACGATTCTATCAGTAACAAGACCTGGTGCTTAGAAATAATAAATTGGTGGGGGTACAGATTACATATTTGGTAATTTTTCTTAAAGAACAAGAACAAGAATGGGATAGAAAAGAAACACTTTTTCAGTTTGCAATTGAAAATTCAACATTGGAGCCATTCTAAAATATACAGAGTTGGGTAGAAAAGGTGAAGCTGGGGTACTGGGACTACGATTACAGGTTGCGGTAGCACACTGTAGGCACATCTCGCAGGTGAGGAAGGAGGAATGGGGGGGGGGGTTAATGCAAGTTGTAAGGGAACCAGAAACTTACTCCGAGATGTGAAAAAAGTTAGAAGAAAACAGATAGACTCTGACACATTCAAACATATATACTCAGACACTCAAAGGCGTATACATACGACAAAAAACACATTTATTTGGCTAGCAGGGGATATTCTTATGCATATACATATAACTGATAACCATATAACAATCACACACATACACACACACACACATACTCACACGCACAACAAACTCACACACACACAAATGTTATCACTCAGACTGTCAGACATGACCTAACCAGGCTATTTCAAATACACGACTGGGCACAGTAGATGGAAAGTCCTATGTATAACAACTTAAGGACAAACAAGCCTGCTTTACTAAACACTTATATGTCAGACCAACGAAGCTGCTATTGGTACTGAGCACCTTCTACAGCATAGTCCTCAGAAAAGTAGCGAGACAAGCCCAAAGTCCCATTGGTGGATAGTAGGCTACAGAAATCTGAAGACCTTACTGTGCTCATCTGGGCCACTGGCATCTCTTCAAGTGAGAGGGGAAGAACATGCTCACACACAAACACACATGCCTTCACTATGTAGCATATTACAACATAGAATGCACCCTTTAAAAATATTTACCCTACACAAATGTGTTTCTTGTTTGGTCTATGATAAAACACGCTTGCAAATACATACACACAGTTACACTTACATTCACACATTCAAGCAAACTTAATGACTCTCTCTCTCTCTCTCTCTCTCTCTCTCTCTTTCTTTCTCTCTCTCTCTCTCTCTCTCTCTCTCTCTCTCTCTCTCAGAAACACCCACAAGCACAAACAAAATGAGCCATTCATACCTGTGTGGCATACGAGACTGACAGTCCAGCCAGGCCGGCGGAGAGACTACTGTCAGACACAGCAAATATGGCGGCCGCCAGGATGACCAGATTACCCAGGAACTCGAGACGCACCTGGAGCCAGCTGAGACAGACATAGAGACATACGATTATAATGTATGGCGATTAAAGAGTGCTCTACCCCAATTTAAAAACACAGGCTCTGAGAGCTTTATAAATTATACAGGAAGCAACACACAAACCATGCATTGTGTTCTGACTTACAAGAGCAACAAACACAAAAATGAAGGAGGAAAGATAAGGACGATAGATGTTTGATGGAAAAGAAGGGGTATACCACACCATAGCCCCCAACAACCATCCGTTGGTCTACCTACAGCACCAATCAATTTTCTTTTTTTCAATCAGAGTAATAAAATCTCAGCTGTGGCAATACTCCATGCAGGAGAACCGACAGTGCTACATTCAAACAGACCGATTCTGAGCTTGGTGAAAGCTTTAACCTCTTCATCAATTAAAAGAAATAACCCCCCAAAATATTCTTAGGCAAACTTACTTGGCAGTGGCAATACTGGCAAAGTAAAACTTGAAGTTGTAGTCCACCAAAGTCTCTGAGTGGTCCATAAACCTCTGCTGTGCACCATACGCACGGATGCTGGCTGCACCACTGAGAGTCTCAGAGAAGTGGACGTAGATAGGAGAACGGGTGGTGGAGTCGATGCGGCGAATCTGGCGCGAGGCGGGCATATACACCCGCTGCGGTCAGAGCAAATGTAAAGAAAGATTAACAGATGAAAGCATTGAAAGTGCACGTATTTATCATTTATCCGTATCAGCTGTATTGACTGTTTTACGTTCTTCTTTTTTTAGTAAGAACCTTCCGGCACTTGCAGCGCAATTAGGTCATATAAATGCCGAAGATTAAAGGTGTTACATGTAACATGATAGGAACAAACACAAAAAGGAGGAGGATAAGGACGATAGATGTTTGATAAAAAGGAAGGAGAAAACCACACCAGAGCACCCATCAACCACCCACTTGCGTACTTCAATTTGACATGATCCAGGCGTGTACACCAATTGAGGAGCAAGGTGGAAACCAATTCATACCTTTGGCGCAGTTCTTCTCGGTTTATTTCGAATTGCTTTTCAGGTGACATTGACTAAAATGCTGATTTTTAAAACTCATGCTCTGACGTGATTGATGCAAACTCTGAAGAGAACTTTGAATTCCAAAAAGATGTTTCTGTTTTAGTTTCGGTAAGATTTTTTTACCGCACTTGCAACACAATAATTAAGTCATAAAAGTGCCGAATAGTACTATATAGACGTCTAGATCTAATAGGTGTTACACGAGAGTAACAAACCTGCATGGAGAATTTCTAAGAGCTCTCCATAACTCCCAACCGGAGGCTACAGTCGATTTCTGTCTTTGAGTATTATCGAACTATTTGAAAACTGTAGAAGTGGATGCTTTATTGTCCCGTTAGGAAGTACAATGTTGTTGGAGTGTTATACTACAACTACTTAGCAATTCATATACATTTTTGGGGGAATTGCTTTTCGGCGCTCGTAACTGCATAGGGTCACATTAAAAATATTTTCAGCTTGGTAGGAATTTTGAATTTTGTCCGGGTGGCGGCCGAAGCGTACTCGTATCGATTTTTAGGACCACCAAGGGATCTTTAACGTGAGCAACTTGCACACGGGACCTCTGAGATTTTTTGCCCTTATCTGAGAAGGCTAGGTTTTATAGATCTCACCTACCATAAGATCAGGGATGTGGCTGAAAGAGAGCAGTAAGAAGAAGCCAAGGAATAGCAGTAAAAAGACAGAAAAAAAATTCATGAGCCCAGAGGATGAGGCAAAGGGGAGGGGGCAGAAGGTAGAGACAAACACAGACAACAGAACATGGTTGGAGAGCACAGGAAATGAGGTGAAACGAGACATTTTTAGAGAAGAACATTTTCCGTCACTTTCAGGATTCGACAGCGGGACATATTGAATGAGAGGTGAATACCGTAACCTCTAAACCACGAGAGCACCCTTTCAAACTTATGAAATCCCTAATGGCGATGCGTCCACGCGTGCGCGCACACACACACACGAATTCACACAAAGACACACACTGAAGAACACATACACAAAATATTTATTCTCTCTCTCTCTCTCTCTCTCTCTCTCTCTCTCTCTCTCTCTCTCTCTCTCTCTCTCT